CCCCCCCATTCCTTCCAGGACTCCCCATCTTCCCCCCATTCCTTCCAAGACTCTCCCCATCTCCCCCCTCCACTCTACAGTTCCTCCCCCCCCCTTCCCCTTCCAAGACTCTCCTCCCCCCCCCATTCCTTCCAGGACTCCCCATCTTCCCCCCATTCCTTCCAAGACTCTCCCCATCTCCCCCCTCCACTCTACAGTTCCTCCCCCCCCCTTCCCTTCAGTTCTGGAATGTCGATTTTTGTTTTTGTTTTTGTCAAGATGGCAAAAGGCTTTCAAAGATGGGAGCGTCCCGGGTTGTCGCGGTCTTAAGGGTTCAGTTGAGCAAAAGCAATGTCTTTGTGTTGTTGTTGTTGTTTGTTTGTTTGATTTGGGCCCGGTCCCGGGGCTTGAACTCAGGGCCTGGGCGCTGTCCCTGAGCTTTTGTGCGCACTCCTCCGCTTGAGCCACAGCCCTCCCTCCTCCGGCTCTTTCGGGTGATTCACTGAGGTAACCCCACGTCTCCACGGACTTGCCGGGCTTGGAACACTCAAGTCCTCCGGTCTCAGCCTCCCGAGTAGCTAGGATTACAGGCGAGAGCCACCGGCGCCTGACTTTGTTTATTGGTTTTGTTTTGTTTTTTGAAATGCCCCAGGGAAGGGTTCTTTTTTTAAAGAAAGGATCTTCCCGGTTTCCCCCTGGCCTGGCCTGTCTTCCAGACACTTTGCAGAAATTGTAATCAGCATTTGTTTTGTTGTTTTGTTTTGTTTTGGGTTGCTGCTTTTTTTTTTTTAAGATGGAGATTACATTTTTAAGGAGCTTGAGTTGGTTTCCAGCCGCATTAGTGTTCTGTTTGGTTTTGAATTGTGTTAAATTCTTGATTATCCATGGTGCGGGGAGGTAGGAATAATGGCAGTGGAAAAAATAATGTAGAATCATAGTCTGTACTCCGCCCCCCCCCCCAAATGTTCTCCAGCGTTTAGGTCACTGGGAAACGAATTGATTTGATGAAATCTTAAATTGGGATTACTCTCTATTCTCCATTCCCAAGGCCATCCTTGTCCCAAGAATGAGTTAGGCAAATAGGTGAAAAGAAGAAAAAAAAATACTTTCACTGTTAATTTTACAAATGGCTAATCAGCATCTGAATAAAGACACCAGATTTCCCAAATTCCCATTTCTGCATCTAGACGTAGGTAAAACCACTTTTGATTTGGAAATCAGACTCTTAGCCATCAAAGCACAGCTTCCTACTTGTGTATCTATTTTTTTTACACAAGCCTTCCCCCCTCCCCTACTCTTCCCCCCTTCTCCACCTCCCCCTCCTCCCCTTCCTCCTCCTCTTCTCCTCCTCTTCCTTCTTCTCCTTCCTTCAAAAAGCAAAACAGAACACCCAAACCCTTTATGTGAATATAGCTTTGAAAACACAAATGGGTTTTAATGAACAACACATGAATTACCAAAGCAAAAGTGATAATGAAGCCTCCTGGACTTTACCAGAGAATTCTATATACAGTCTCTATTCAGTTTAAGAATTTTTATTTTGAAGATATTTGTCAAAAATACTCCAGAGGCTGGGAAGGTGGCTCAGTGGTAGAGCACTTGCCTTGCATGCCTGAGGCCCTGGGTTTGATTCCTCAGCACCACATATGCAAAAAAGAAAAAAAAAAAGCCAGAAGTGGCGCTTTGGCTCAAGTGCTAGAGTGCTAGCCTTGAGCTGAAGAGCTCAGGGACAGAGCCCAGGCTCAGAGTTCAGGCCCCATGACCGGACCCAAAAAAACTCCAGATTTCAAAGCTTGACAAACAAATAGGAAATTTACTTGAATTAGTTCCTTGTGTGTCACTAATGAAAGGGTTGGACATCCAACTGTAACCAATAATGCTACCATATGTATACTTAGGGTTACTTTCATCCTAGAGGAAACATAATTAATTAGATGGTGCCTTTTGGCATAGCAGTTTTTGTGTGATTATTTTAAGAGCAAGTTTCAGCAAATTATTTAGACAGTTTTTCTCTTTTATCCCACATCCCACATTTAAGAGCTAGAGAAAGTCCATGGAGAAAGACTTTATACTGGAAGGTTTTTGTTTTGTTTTGTTTTGTTTTTCCTTCCAAGACCTTTTACTTCATCCCCAGACTGACTCTAAATGGGAGAATAATTTGGAACTTCCCTTCATTCCTGTGTTCTCAGAAAAACAGATCTAGAAAAATAGTGCGTCTGCCTCGTTATTGCATTAGGCAGCTAATTCAGGGATCTGTGGTTGGCCTGGAAAGAGTACACTGGAAGAAGTGTGCTACATTTTATGTATGCAAGATGCCATTATTCTCATCGTTTTTTTTCCTTTTTCTTTTTTGTGGGGTCAGGTTTGAACTCAGGGTCTTAAATGAACTGTAGCTCTTGAGCTACACCCCTTGCCCTTTTTTTGCTTTAGTTATTTTTGGGAGAGGATCTCACAGTTTTGGCCTCCCCCCCCCCCTCCGCTGGCCTAGGACATTAATTCTTCTACTGATTGCCTGGGATTACAGACATGCACTGGCTCTTACCTCTTGGCTGGGGTTCGTTCTTTCTTTCTTTCTTCCTTTCGTTCCTTCCGTCTTTCCCTCGTTCTTTCTTTCCCTCGCTTTCTTTCTTTCCTTCTTTCCTTTCTTTCTCTCTTCCTTCCTTCCTTCCTTCCTTTCTTCCATGTTTATTTGGAATAACATTACAACTAGAAGTTGCTTCTGATACAGTGGTTTACCATCTTTTTTTTTTTAAAAAAAAAAACAGCAGTATCTATTTTTTGTAGAAATCCAATAATGTAGGTAAAAGTATTTCTTTTTCTTTTTCTTGGGTCCAGTCATGGGGCCTGAGCTCTGGGCCTGGGCACTGTCCCTCAGCTCTTCAGCTCAAGGCTAGCACTCTACCACTTGAGCCACAGCGCCACTTCTGGCTTTTTTCCCCCCTGCTTATGTGGTGCTGAGGAATCGAACCCAGGGCCTCAGGCATGCAAGGCAAGTGCTCTACCACTGAGCCACCTTCCTAGCCCCAGAAAAAGTATTTCTAAGGGAACTTTAGCATCAAGCAAGGAGAGAGGAGGGGTGGCCTCAACTTGCTTTCATCCCTACCATGGCTTGGCGTTCATCATTTCAAAAGGGCCAAGAACTACTAACAGTAGGATAAGGGCCTAGGATCTCTCAGATTTGTGGGATTCTTGATTCTTTCCATTCTACTATATAGTAATGTGATGGCTTTTTAGGTTATTTGGAATATGCTTTTATATTTTTACTACTGAGATGAATTGATAGGTAAAGAGCATTAAAAAGTATATACAGTATGTTCTGAATTCCCATTTTTCCTCAATAAATTTTTTTCTCTTTAAACCTATGTTGGCTTATACTCAAAATTTCTGAAAATGCTTACGGTGTTAAGTGCTATAGTGGTTCTCATAAGCTTATTCACATGAGCTTGGTTATATATGTTGATCAATATCATAAGAAGTCACTGGGATGGGAATAAAATGGTGGATGAATAATGATAATTGCAGTAGTAACTATGCAAGATGCTAAGGGTAGAGGAGAATCTCAGAAGTATTCTCTTTCATCAAGACTTAAAACTGTTACCTTAATTTTAATTTTGAGCTAGATGTTCTGAAAACAGGTATATTTTCTTTTTCTTTAAAAAAATGTTATAAAGGGGGGCTGGGAAGGTGGCTCAGCCGTAGAGTGCTTGCCTTGCATGCCTGAGGCCCTGGGTTCAATTCCTCAGCACCACATAAGCAAAAAGAAAAAAGCCGGAAGTGGCACTGTGGCCCAAGTGGTAGAGCGCTCGCCTTGAGCTGAAGAGCTGAGGGACAGCGCCCAGGCCCAGAGTTCAGGCCCCACAACCGGAAAAAAAAAATAAAATAAAATAAAGAAAAAAGAATGTTATAAAGGGGAAAAGAATGTAAAGGATAAATTGGGATTTATTTTATTTATAATGTTTTAGTGTTTCTATTTTTAGGTTATTTAAAAGTTCCGTTATTTTAAAATAATGGGGTTATAACACTCAAGCTTCACAGGTATGTAGTATAATAATTCAAATATTGGCTTAATTTTTAGGACTTTAACATGAGTTTGTTTTTTTAGAGTTTATAAATTTCTTGTTTTTAACATCTTTAATTTTTTTTTTTTTGGTGCCAGTCCTAGGCTTGAGCTCACAGCCTGGGTG